CGTTGCTCCGGCCCCTCTGCCCCAGACTCGAGAGGAGCCTGGAGGCGCGCATGAAGCGCCCGCTCGGGTGTTGAAAGAGCCTCCACCTGTATGGCACTCTTGGTCTGAGGTGCCTAGGGATGCCGCGGTTGTGGCAGCAGCAGGCCCTGGGTTTTTGGAGATCTTTTCAGGCGCGGCCACGCTGACCAAAGCAGCTCGCGAAGCCGGTCTGCCATGCCTGCCACCGATCGACATTACCCCCTGCGAGCTGGTGCCTCAGCCGTTCGATGTGGTGGATGCTGACAATTGGGACTTCATCATGGCGCTCGCTCATGCTGGCACAATCCGCTTCCTGCATTGCGGGACGCCATGCAACACCTTTTCGGCTGCTCGGAAGCTCGATGGAGGACCACCTCCCTTGCGCTCTCATGAGCAACCGCTCGGGTTGCCCCATCTGGATCCAGAAAACGAGGCTATGGTGTTCTTGGGCAACTTGTTCCTCCAGCGCTCTTGCATGGCATGCCTAGCTGTGTATTTGCATGGTGGTGACTTCTCGATCGAGAATCCTGAATTCAGCCTCATGTGGTCCACACCTGACATCATTGAGTTGAAGCGCCTCACAAAAGCATGGCTCGTTGACTTCGATCAGTGTTTCTTCGGTGCTCCTTCGGTCAAACCTACACGCTTGCTGGTCTCGCATCAGGGCTTTGACGCACTACACCATCGTTGTCCAGGTGGCCATCGCCATGAGCAACTCAAAGGGAAAGTCTGGTCGGACTTCTTTGGTCGCTGGGTCTATCGGACAAAGCTTGCTCAAGTTTACCCAGTTGCTCTATGTACCCAACTCGTGCGCATCATCTCGTCATTTTGGGCCGATCAAGTGCCGCAGTTTGAGCTGAGTTTCCGCCTCCTTTCGGACGAGCGGAAGCGCCCAGTTGGCCAAGCGCTTCGCTGGCATGATCACCGACAAGCTCTTTCAGCCTTGAAGGCCGAAGCAGCTGGGTACCAGCTCAAATGCGGTGCTCGCAAGCCCCTCCTCCATCTCGAGACTGAACCGGGAGTGGCCATCGAGTGGGCGCTCTCCATCCCACACCCGCTCTGCATTGAAGTTGAGCTTGATCAAGACCTGCGCAGGTGTGTGTGCAATCTGGCGGCAGATCTGCCGGCCGTGGTTCAGCAGCGCTTGGATGCTCTGCACTTCTGGGAGACGCGTGCGATCGCACTGTTACCATCTACGTCAGCGCTTCTTGCATCCGTCCCGGATCAACCGCTTCGGCGTCTGCTCCGTGGTGTTGCTGACGACCAGCCTTGCCAGCTCGGCTCTTGTTGTCACATCGCTCTGTACTACGAGATGCTTGAAGCTTGCAACTCAGTGGATGCATTTATGCTGGATTTGTTGCTGCAGGGCTTTCCCATCGTGGGACCCATAGCGCGCTCGCGCAGATGGCCCCACTATGACAAGGCGGTGCCAGTCGTTCCTGTTCAAGAAGCTTTAGACCGGGCCTGGGCAATGCGTTCAAAGATTGTCAATCGTGTTCGTTCAGCGCCTGCTTCAGAGAATCTGACCAAGATCTGGGAGGCAACTTTGGAGGACGTGTCGGAAGGGTCCACTCTCGGGCCGTTCTCTTGCCCTGATCAGGTGTCAGAGTTGCTCCAATGTGAAGACTGGATTCCGACCCAGCGGTTCGAAGTCGTGCAAAAGAACAAAGTGCGTGGTTGCGACAGCGCGACTACAAATATGATCAATCAAGTGACGGTGATCACCGAGAAACTGCAACTGCCATCGACAGACACCAATGTCGCAGCGCTGCGCATGATGCGATCGGCTATGCCAGGTGCCAAGTTCGCTGGTTGGGTGCTGGATGAGAGGAAAGCCTATCGACAGGTGGCTATCCGTCCAGATCACCGGAAGTTCAGTGTGATTTGCATCAAGTCGCCGGTGTCGCTCGAACCTGCTTTCTTCGTAATGGTTGGTCACTCTTTTGGGCTCGTGTCGGCGGTTTACAACTACAATCGCAGATCTGCCGCGATTAACGAGATCCTTCAAAGGTTGTTCAACCTGGTTGCTTTCAACTTCTACGACGACAAGTACGGGTTTGAGCCGCTCGGCTCGGTTGAATCTGCCTTCCACGTAGCTCAGAGGATACACTGGCTCTTGGGAGCGGCGTTCGACCCAAAGAAGCTCCAGCTGACAGACAAGCCCGTGATTTTGGGCGTGACCTACAACCTGTCGGATTGGGTTTTAGAGATCAAAGCCAATCGGCGTGAAGAGTTGATTGATGAGATCCAAAGCGTGCTTCGCTCGGGCGTTCTTGAGCCTGGTCACGCTGGGAAGCTCAAAGGCAAGCTTATGTTTGGCGCCAGCCAGCTCTGGGGCAAAGTGGGAAGAGCTTTCCTCCGGTCCATCTCAGAGAGACAGTACGCTCGTTTCCCTTCGAATGATGTGTTCACGCTCGATCGACCGCTCGAGGAGTCTCTGAGGCAGTGGCTCAAGCTCGTCAGCAGAGGACCACCCAGGACGATCGAATTGTGCTCATTCAAGAAGGCGGATCTCGTCATTTTCACTGATGGTTTTTCACCGGACCCCCGTGAAGACGACCATAGGCCCGATCGGATAGGAGGAGTGATTTTTGATAGGCGCATGACATCGCCTGTACAGTTTACCTCTCGAGTGCCTAAGGATCTGCGAGACAGGTGGTTGGTCAGAAAGACTCAGATCATCCCCGTTGAGATGCTCGCACCCATTGTAGCTCTCGAAACTTTTTCAGATAGACTCTTCCGAGCGGACATCTTCGTCTTCATAGATTCGGAAGTCGTTGAGGCCTCGCTCGTGAAGGGTTATTCAAGTCGCGAAGACTTGTGCTTGCTCGTTTCAGTCTTTTGGGACCTAGTGTTAAACCTGCAAGCTCGCATTTTTATTGATAGAGTGGCGACGGACGCAAATCCGGCAGATCCCCCTTCCCGGGATAACCTGGATGTGGGCGCTCGCGCTGGATGGCAGACAGTGCCGGCTCAATGGCCTGTTGCACTGTCGCTCGACTAGGTCGTCGGTTGTGAGTGATGAGGGGTGAGGGCCTGGGTATTGTTTTCCAACTAATGGGCTCGCGAAGAGCTTCTCGCGAATGAGAACCCTATTGTTGGGCCACTGGTTGAAGAAGCATCCTGACCCTTTTCTGTCAAACTTGATGACCTAGCTCGATGACCCCACGCCTTTTTCGAGCTAGAAAAAGCTCTGCGTCCTTCACTCAGGCGACTGAACAATCGAGAACTCGTTCGAGAGTCGTGTGTTTGAAAGTG